AAGGTCTCTATCTCTCATTAACTACTGCAAAGAAAAGCTTAAAAAGACAAAAAAGAATTAAAGAGTATTTAGTAAGAGTTGCTAAGAAAGCATGATGATATGTGAGGGGACCATTCCTTTTTGGGGATTATATTTGGCTCAGGAAAGCAGGAGCTGAGCTGTCTTTGTAGCTCTCCGATCAAGGCAAGCAGTTACAAGTTTTGTGGCTCAGCCTCAGACACAAGGCTACCAGTAACTGTTATCACCATTTGTTATTCTCAGGCCTGGCAGAGCAGAAAAGAAGGCCAGGGTGAGGAGGATGTTCTGCTGTCAGTGCAGTGAGGCTAGAGCAGAAAAGCTGTGGGGCTCCAGCAGGATTGAGTTGCACTGGCTGAGCCCTGTGAAAACCAAGGACACCGGTAGCAGTGGCTGGCCTCAAAAAACTGCACTGATACCATCAACCCTCCCTCGAAAAGGCTCTGTGTGAATGAACACGTCCTTTTTGGGGGACATTAGAAGTATCCTGCTTGGCTCTTAATTGTGCTACAGGAAACAAGATCCCAGTTTCAGCTCATGTAGTTAACTCAGGTAAAAGCAGCATAAGTTCCTTACTATTATAAATTAAAATACAGAAGAATTCTCCCCCATGGTTTTATATAGAAACTGAATTCCAACTGTTTATTGTATAAGACCAAACATGGAGGTCTCTGTGTCTATCTTTAGCATCAGATAAGGGCAGTTAGCCTGCTCTTCCTTGAGTCTGGCTTTTCTCTTTTAAGGCAAATACGACAGATCCTGAATATGCCTTACATAAAACTAGAGAGACAAAAAAAAAATCATGGCAACTGAAGGGCACAGGGGAGAGAAATGGGTTGACACCTGATTTTGTTGTGTTGTTACTTAAGGAATTTTATCTCTTGTATTTACCTTAGTGATCAGTGAATCTGAGTTTGGAGGCCACAAAAAGGACTGAGAGGTTTTTGGCTTGGTATCTGTGGGTTCTGAAATAACCCACGTTGTCTTCTGGCAGCAGAGAGGGAGAAAACATTTGCAAAGAACTCCCAGACCAGAGTCAGCCCAAGAAGCAGCAATGGCCAAAAAAGAAAGAAACCAGACAAAAATGCATGCCTGACTAATATGAACAACATGTTAAGAGGGAAGCAACTTCTAGTGCCCATTTTCTAGCTAGAACCAGTAGCTCTTCTTTACCTCTACTCCCTTGAGCATGGTTTTCCCTTGCAGTCCTCTTTCCCTATCAGTGACTATGAAGAAACTACAAACAGATGTCACTTTGTCAGGCGCCACACCATGTCCTTCATGGTGAAGCCTCTCAGGGTTTTTTTCTCTAGGGCAATGCAAAATTTCTGTTGTTTAGAAAAGGACGATTTCAGTGAGCCCTGCAAGGAACTTAAATGTACGTGTGAATCTGCAAGTGCTGAGTTGCATTTGTTTGCCTTGGCCTTGAGTGCCTGGCAAGCCTTAGTGGTGAGCATGAAGCACTGCAAGAGCTTTCTCTGCATATAGAATGACAAATGTCAGTGTCATATGGAAAGTTAAATTTATTTGCCCTAACAGATACATTTGGTTTGATTTCTTGCCTGTGGCATCAGTCAGGGTTACTTCACCCTGAAGAAGAAAAGGCCCTGTCACTCCCTAGTGGCGTGCTTATAAGTTTAGCAGAAGTGCAATCTGCTCCTGCCCTGAAATTTGCCACCATTTAATCTGTAATATAAACACCTATTCAGTCACAACATATTATGGCAGCTAAATTCACAGAAATTTAGATATATTGAAGAAGAGAATGGTTTATAGGAATCTGGATAAATTTCTTCTCTTGAATCCCTCTAAAAATTAATTTAGACACTTAGATTCCCTTTATCTCTGTTTGGTTTTAGTCACAAGGTTAGCCAATACTTGAAACACCCCCAGTCCAACCACCACTTCCTGCTCCAGGGAATACCATTAAATATTTGCATGGGATGAGTAAGCAGACTTGGCTCTTATCAAAGTAATTTCCACAGAAAGTGTATAAATCACAATTCTTTAATTGTTTGTGTAGCTGTTACAGTGACTTTTCACTTCAAAAAACTCAGCACTTCAATAGCTCCCTATGCCTGCAGAGGGACAGGTCCCGTGGGTCTGCTCAGAATTTCACTGGAAATGCAATACGCTATTTAATTTGTGTTCAGAACTGACACTTGGGAAAAAAAAGAAGAATCAGTCCCCATAAAGTCTAGGAGCTGAACAGCAAAACTCTTCTTCTGCAGTTTTCTTTGTCCAGCTCCACTTTACAAAGTATTTTTGAAGACTGTCCTACTGCCCTCTGTGGGCTTTACTGCGAAGTACCTTAAATAACCCTGCGGGCATGCGTTGGGATATGACTCCTGCAGAAACTTTTGCTTCTCTTCTCTCATGCCCATGTGCTGCAGCTGCTTTTTAAAGTGATGCCTTAATTTAGCAAAGCCAATTGTATACTCCCCACCCTTTCATGTGCCTGCCAATGCAATAAGAAGCCGAAGAGAAGGCATCTGTAATGGCTGTTTGGTCTTGTTGGTTCTGAAAGCCAGTGAGATATAATAAACTTGTCTCCAAGTAAACATACAGAAATAGAAGAATTAGAAATAAGTTTAGAAGCAAGGTCTTGGTACGTATGAGATCCTGCTTTAGTTTTGGTTGAGGTGCTTTGTTTCAGTCAGCATTTTGTGGTTTTCAGAGGCTGGCCTGAGGGGTTTTGCAGGAAATTGAGTAGATAATGAATATTATTAATAAGCTTTACATCTAGGAAGTCTGTGAAGCAGAAAGGGTGTTTTCCATTTCTTTACAATAGTCAGTTTTTAAAGAATGTAAAAATAAAGGCTGCTTTGGCTTCAGCTGTTTAGTGCCTCTTGGCAATCTGGGGAATCAGATGCAAAACAGAGAGTGCCTGGGGGTGCTCTTCTGCGCCATCACTGGCCAGAGCAGTAGCTCAGATCCAGAGGAACTAGCAGAATTAAGAGAGTTTTAACTTGTTCCCATTTGTTTGATAACATGGCAAAATATTATATTTATTTATTTAAACTATTTACCACACTAGGGAGATGCATGATGTTTTTTGTCTCAACGGTTGATTTGGACTTTCATTTGTAAACTGCAATTGTGGTAATTAATTTTTATTAGAGTCACCTCTTAGGAAATAGACCTCAGTCTGCTCAACTTGTCTGGTTCCAAGGCAGTATGTAAATAGGCATCAGGTGGTTGTGGTTTTGTGCTTCTGGGCTTTATTTAAGTGCTGCCAGCAGCCACTACACATCCTGGGGAGGTAACCTTCCTCTGATCTAGAGCTAACCCACATGCTGCTTGGTATGAGCCATCCTCTTTGCAGCATGAAGACATTAATGGTTCTTAAAAAATACAAACTACTCTCTCTGGTCATAATTTATTAAGAAAGGTAGTGATTTTTAAAGCTAAGTTGTTTCGGTATTTTTGAGTCTTTTTTCCTCTTTTTTTTTTATTGTCCCCCACCCCCAAGACAGTATTCAAAGTATTGAATGAAATTTAGCAAAGATCAAGTTTTGTGTTTCCATTTCACAGACTGAGAAATGGAATCATAGAGGATGCAAATGACTTATTAAAATCCAGAATTAAGGTAATAACAGTTGGATAAGAAATTTAGTGCCAAAATGAAGTAGATCTTTTAGTCTAAGAGTAGTCTAACTTGCTATGTGCTTCACCACCTGTACGATGGCCACAGGTGAATCAGAATATGGACACACTATGTGTCATTCTGGTTTCCTCATTAATTACTGGTTTATGTTTGTACTTGGTGCCTTAGGGCTCGGTCCTTATCCCCAGACTGGGGACTGGACTGAGATTTCCGCACCGATGTGGCACGGTGCTGCTAGCTGTGTCCTGCAGCGTGGCTTCAGGCCACCTGCACGGCTTGTGCGGCAGGACAGCTCTGTGAAGTCGAGTTCCGCAATCACAGATCTCTGCAGGGAATTCGAGCTGGTGTGGCGTGGAGGAAAAGGAAGAAATCTTGCATTCACTCTCTACAGTCCTTCAGCCCAGTTAGAGATGTGGCAGAGGACGGATTTGAATCACGCAGCTCGCTGATGCTGGCGAGTAAACAAAGGAACGAGCTGCTGTAATGCCTGGTCGCTCAGGACGGCCAGGCTGGAGGCACAAATCCTCCGCTGGTGTCCAGGAGCGGCGGGCAGTGCCCTGTCCCCGTGCGCGAACCCGAGCGCTGCTGTCCCCGAGGGACACGGGTCACCGGGGACAGCGGCTGTCAGGGGCTGCCGCTGTCAGGGGACAGCCGCTGCACCCCCGCAGGTCTCGCCAGGCCAGGCCCGCCCCCGGCAAAAGCGCCGCCAGTGACCCGGGCCCGGGGCGCGGTGCGAGCGGGGCCGGCCGCTCCACCGGCGGCATTCGGCGGCACCGCTGCCGGGGTCTCCGCCTTGCGGGGGCCGGAGCCGGGGGTGATGCGGGAGAAGCCGTGCCGGGCCGTGCCTGGCAGCGCCAGGCGGGGCGGGGCCGCGGTGCCGAGCGCTGTGAGGGGAGGCGCGGCTGCGGCGCGGCCGTGGCTCGGCACGGCCCGGCACGGGGTGATGCGGCACGGCACGGTCGGTGCTGCCTCCTCCCGGGCCGGGGCTTGCGGAGGGACGGACGGCAGGAGGCAGGAAGGGAGGAAAAGAGGCAGGGTGGGAGGGACCCCACGGCGCCGCTCGGAGCCCAGCCCGGCCCCGGGAGCGCGACAAGCGCCTGGCACGGGATAAAGTTATCCCGGAATAAGGCTGCACGCATGTGCGTCACCCCGGATGTGAACATGCCGGCCCGGCTCCCCGCTAGCTCGCTCCGCCTGGCTCCAACGGATGGGCTGAGCCGTGCCGTGCCGAGCCGAGCCGTGCCGAGCCGTGCCCGAGGCCCTGCAGCCCGGTAGGGGCTGGGGGAGGCCGGGCCGCCCGGGCGCCCTCGAGGGCCGAGGTGCGAAAGCCCCTCCCGGCGGGGCAGGGGCAGGGGCGCAGCCCGGGGCGAGGCCGAGCCGAGCCGTGCCGAGCCGTGCCCGAGGCCCTGCAGCCCGGTAGGGGCTGGGGGAGGCCGGGCCGCCCGGGCGCCCTCGAGGGCCGAGGTGCGAAAGCCCCTCCCGGCGGGGCAGGGGCAGGTGCGCAGCCCGGGGCGAGCGGCGGGCGGCGCCCCGGGAGCGATGGATTTTCGTGGGAAGAAGTACGAGCGCGGCAGTAACTGGTCGGACCCCGAGGTGGTGGAGCTGCTGCAGCTCTGGGCCGACGAGTCGGTGCAGATAGAGCTGGAGAGCTGCTTGCGCAACCAGCACGTCTTCAACCGCATCGCCGAGGTGCTGCGGGAGAAGGGCATCCACCGGACGGGAGACCAGTGCCGGGAGAAGATCAAGAAGATGAAGCTGGAGTACCGGCGGATCAAGGACAATAGCAAGGCCCCGCGGGGCGGGCGGACATGGAAGTTCTACGAGGTGATGGACCGGGTGCTGACCAGCCGGCCCGCCCTGGCCTATGGCTCCCTGAGCGGCAGCATGATGGCTCAGCAGGTGCTGCAGGGCAGCATGGTGGAGAGCTACCACCACCAGTTCACCTCCTCTGCCCTGCCCTTTGGACACTCCCAGCACCCTGAGCTGATGGAAATCAAATGTGAGGAGGTGAACTCTGATGACCACAGCTTGACCCCAGAGCCCCCACAAGCCATGTCTTACCAGCAGGGCTCCCCTGAAGAACAGGAGATGGAGAGAGCCTTCTTGGAGAGGGCCCAAAATGACTCTCCCATCTCCAGGGTGGAGATTCCCATTGAAACCAGTGTTTCACCTTCAGGTAGGGATAGCCTTTTACATTCCAGCATAAGGTTTCTGCCCATTTTCCCAGAAACAGAAGATTATTTTCTGGTGCAGTGATAGACACCTGATTTTCTCAATGACATTTGGATCCTTGTTTTTCCACATCCCAGAAAGCTTTAAAGTAGAAGGCTGATATCTGAATTTCTGGTGTTTTGGCCATTCTCAAAATGCAGGTATCTCACTGCAGGTGAATATGATCTAGAATTACTGAGCTAGGCGAAATACTGTGTATGAAATCCAAAGAGCTCCATAAGCTGGGCTAGTTAGATTTCTGCATATAATGCTGACAGTAAAAAAACCATTTGCATGCTTATTTGATATCACTTGAACATAACCAGAGCTGTCTGCTGTCCTCATGCTGAATTGTATCATGACACCCTCTTCTGCCATGGTTGCACTGTAAACCTGCAGGTAAACTGTCCTTGCATAGTTTTAACATATATTCCAGATACAATATTTTAGCCCACTCAACAGTGAAGAATACGTAGGAATAATCATTGCCTGACTTTCTAAGTTCTTCAGTGGGACTTGCAAAGAAGTTGTTTTTGGAAGTGCCTGGCAGAAACGGTGTATTTGTTTACAGGAGTTGAGATTCCTGCACTGAAAATGCAGTTGGCATTGCTTAACTACCAAGAAGGGTACAGTCCTGGTAGCTGGGGATTCCAGATACAGTCCCTGGAATTCTGGGGATTTCAAACCAGTCTAGGACAGGCTGATGGAAGACCATTAGTTGTTGGAGAAAAAGAGATGATAACAAATGTGAGGTCAGGAAGAAATGGTGTGTCCTCTTGGCTGTGGTGCTTGCACAGTTAGCCTAGTGGAGGGAACTGATGATTATTCAGGTTAATACAGAGACCGTGTAAGGGGCTGGGGCTGGCGGCATCAAGGTGTGCCCAATGTGTGATGTTAAAATCAAACTTAAAAAACTGTTTGCAAACCTCAGGATGTACCTGACAGGTTTCACTTTGTTTTTTTCTATAAACTCTATGGTAGATAAAAGGTTGTTCTCATGACAGGCAGGAGAAGGAAGCAAGGCATGTCCATGCCACTTTGCTTGCTGCACTTTTTCTTTGCTTTTGTGTATTCACAGGTTTCAGTGAGCCAAACATGGCAAACTCATCACGGATCCAGAACGTTGTTCCCCGGCCTGGCTTCTCTGCCTTGCATCGGCTGAGAAAAAAACGGAAAGGCCAGCGTCTGAGGGACCCACTGGATGATCTGCTGCTGAAGACTCTGACATCTCAGCGGGCCATGGAGGAGCGCTTTTTGCAGATGGAAGAGCGACGCTTTCAGCGAGATTTGGATGTGGAGGAGCGTCGGATGCAACTGGAGCAGCGCCGGTTTGAACTGGAGCGGGAACATGAGTTTCGCATGTTCAATGTCTTTGCTCAAATGCTCAGCATCCTAAAGCAGAGCCATAGTGGCTCCTCCTCCACTGTTGCCATGCCTCAGGGTTTAGACTTCAGCCAGGCACTGTCCGAAATTGAGGGAATGGGAGGAAGAGGGAGCAACCAGCAAGAGATGAGAGTTCGGTCGCTTGCCAAGAGGAGGATTGACATGCACAGCTTCTGTAACCCCAGTGGCTTCCAGAGAAGCCCCTACCTCTCTGCTCGTGGCAACTTTGCCAACGTTTTTCAGGGCTCCACTGAGGAAGGGTACAAAGCCTACCATGCTGACAAGTATGATGAAGACAAGAACCCCAATGTGAGTAAGAACCTCAAAGTGGTTTCCTGGCTTCCTTGTTAGGAGAAAAAAGTTTCTTAGAAGTTTGCTGGCAGATGTGCTAAAAGAAAGGGTTTATTTTTGATCTCAGTAATACAAGGTGAGTAAAACTGCTTTAAAAATAGTTTTGTGGATCATCTAGATATCAAGGATGAGTGCTATGTTCAGCTCAGGTTTGCACGTTCTGATTTTTTAATCAGGATTGTAATAGCAGTAGCAGACCTTGAAAGATGTAAGAAATCTGCAGGAACAGAGCACATGTTCCTCCTTCCATCTTACGACCTCTGTTGCCCACTGAGAACTGTCTCTGATTATCTGATTATATCTGATTATTGCAGGTGATGGGTGCAGGAAGTAGAACTACTAAGTAGTAGCCTTTTTTTTTTTTAATTACTGTTAAAAACACTCAGCACTTTTGCTGCCCATTTACACTCAGCTGCTCGGTTTTAAGTAGCTCGTCATAGCCCTCTTGTGGCACAAAGGTTGTGTTAATAGTTCAGGCAAACTATTACTGAGTAACAAATATAGTATATATAAATAATTTATATGTGGATTACTTTTAATTGCATCCTTCATTCACATACTGAACTAACTACTTGAAACTTTAAAAATATTTTATTACTAGCCCTGACTTTAGTTGCCCTGTGTTGCGGGGGTGAAAACTAGATTGTTAAACTAGAAACACACAGGGAAGTTTTTGTTACAAGGTGTATTATGAGGTACAGGCTTCTGCTTCTACAGGCTGTTGTCTATGGAGGAGGTAGGTTTTTTAAACAAATAGCTAAAATTAGACTTGTACTTTAATAACATCAGAAGTGTATAGTTGTTTCAATTTCTTTTCACATTTTAAAATTTTATTTACCCAAGCTCTTCTAATAATGAGAATGTACTAGTAGATTTGAACTCTTCACGATCTAATGACATACTATATATGGCCAAATCATAAACCTGGAACTGTAGGGTCATCTCTCCAGAGGGGAAAATTCAGTATTTTAACTACTTATCATGACTACATGTTTATATGTTTTTTGAGCAAATCAGTAGAGTGGAATAGTAATTAATGGTAATGCTTTTAAGATAAACAAACATATCCAAAACCTTATTTAAAACTGCTGTTGAAGGATAAACATTGTTTTTTCAGAGTTATTTTAGGGTTTCTTTTTTAGTTACATAAGTGAGTGAATTCAAGATTAAGTTAAACATGTTCTGTAAAGGACTATAAACTATTAGTGCATGTTCATTTATAGGCAGTTTATTATTATTGACTAAGAACCCGAGTGCTTGGGATATATATGGAAAAGTACACACGTAGATGCATGTCTTGAGTTATATATGGTGAAGTTTATGTGAACTGTGTTTTGACTTTTCCGTGGTAAGCTTTTTGGAGCAGTTTAGTGAAGTGATAGCTAAGGTGATGTACTCACGTATTTTATGTGTCTATAAACAATACTGTTTCTTTTTCTAGGGTATAATAAACTTTGGCACCAGTGAGAACAAGCTCTGCTTTGACCTGATGTCCAAGCGGGTAAGCTCTATTCCAAAATAAAACACAAAAATGAATTTGCTGTGCGGTTTCTCTTCAAAGCTTGCACTTTCCTAGAGTTACTGCTGTTACTCAGGTTTCTCTGGTAAAGTTTTTCCTTGTGGATTTTACATTTGTTGGAAGTCACTTTTGAATACAACTACTTGTACATTCATTTATTTTATTTTTCCAGGAGGATAGGAACATGAGTGTTTTCTTCTTCATGATGGGTTTCCCTCTGGGGATGTACTTATTTCAGAAAACTAGATGAAAATAGGATTAATTTTATTTTCCCCAGCTTACAGTAGATGATTTAATACAGATGTTTTGAAATTAGTTTTGAACTCTATTTAATTTTGAGTATATTTACACCTGTCCATTATAATGTCACACAACTTGAACAGCCGGTTCTGAACTCACCTGAAACGTGCAAGTGTGGCAGTGAAATCTCTCAAAATCAGAGTGGGTCAGCTGCTATCTGCTGGCTTTGCACCAGGCAGAGGAGTGGAACACATAGCAGAACTGAAAAAGTAGAAAAAGTCAAAAGGAAACAAGAGAACCATGCTGTAGAGGAATGCTTCTAGATCTCCATTAAAATCACTGCCCAGGTGATTTTGAGGTGGGCAGGTAGCAGTTTTTCCTACCTGCGGTTGTGTGCAGGGAGGGAAGGTGCCTCAGGGTGGGACAGTCAGTCCCTGCAGTTTGAAGTTCATGGTTGCTCCCATTCCACCACTTCCTACCTTCAAAATGTTCCCTGTTTTATTTCTGCCTGCTACTCCACTGGCTCGGGGGATGCTACCCCACTACTCTGCCTTCCAGCTAAAAGAACAGGTAAGGCAGAGCTTCTGCCTGCATAGAAAGGTGTCTTCCAGGCTGCATAGGTGGTGCCTTCGCTGTACTTTCCCCTTTAAACTAACCCCATGCCTGCAGTAAGTAGTGCAGAGGGAGACAGTAGTCAGCTGCATCTTAATTAGCCCTTCTATGAAAGGGCTTCTATGAGTGAGACTTTGTCAGGTATGGTGTTCATGCTTGTGGCAACAAGCAGAACAAAGATGTTGTTGCCAGCTTCTCAGTCCTCACAGCCTTGAGTAACGCTGGATTCACTGCACGCAGCATCAGCTGGGATTGTAGGCAAATATTTTTTTGCTATTTGGGATTAAAAAAACTTACTGCTGCCAGTGAATAATGTATCCACTTTCTGTTTGCAATTTCTGACCCTTAAATTAGACATCACTTAACACATAACTTTTAGGGGTCCTCCTCTTATTAATTCACAGACATTTTTGACCAAGTCTGCTGGTATGATTGGTGTTTCATTCTCCTCTTATTAATTCACAGACATTTTTGACCAAGTCTGCTGGTATGATTGGTGTTTCATTCTCTAGATAAATTTAGGGGAGAGATGTAAGGAGGCACAGTTCTTGGAGCTACGTATACTCCAAGAACATCTACAGCTGATGAAGGAACTTTTATCCTATATTATCAGGTTGTAATTCTGCATGGGATAAGGGCATTGTCTTTAAACTCCAGAGCTTGGCACCAGTTATTAAAACACCTATAGAAAATGTTATGGTTTTGTTAGCACGTGGGAAATTTTCACACTGCATGTGGAATTTCCCTCCTCCTTTGCACTATTACATACTTGTGTCACCCACACCTTTACTTTTTCTAGTATTAACTCACAGATTTGGTTGTCATTAAATATTTGGAAGGGGCATTGTATATAATACTTGTTTATTGCATTTTTGTTTATCTAAAATGTTCTCAGCCTGCATCAATGCTGTGTTTTCCCTTGCAACTTCACAGAAGTGGATTATGTGAAACCCTGATACTTACAACCTTGAAAATATCTAGGCAAAAGCAGTGTGCACACTTTATCTAATTATAAATATTAAAAAGGACCTCCACAGTTCAGGTCAATCTGTCTTTGAGATCAGAATGAGGAGTTCTTCTTCTCATAAGGAACAAGGTGCCTTATAAGGCACTGTATACCCTGGGGAATAATTTTGAGGAAGATAAATTCAATTTTCTCATATCTTTTGAAAGGTCCTGTTACACTTCAACATTTACCATACTGATCAGAAATATAAATCTGAAGAAGCTGCCATAACTTTGAAATGAGACATAAATGTAAGCTGTAATTCATATAAAAATTAATGGATTGAAAGTTAATTAAGGAAAATGCATATCTGACTCTGATTCAAATTCCTTTCTAACTCTTTCTTACAGTCTGGACCTGAGCTTTCACAACTGGCACTTATTTTTCCAGCCAAAAGCTGTTGTCCTCAGAGCTTGGGCAAAACACTTGGGTTTGCTTCATTTGCTGAGAAAGTCTTTTGCAGATGCCTGGGTTATGAGCATTGTATGTTGCCTGTTCTGCATCCTTTTTGTAGATTTCTGTGCAGTGAAGTTTTGGCTGCAACAACTTAGCAGAAGCCTGTAGTTGATACAACCTGAAGGTATCCCAGGTCAGTTTGCTGGTTCTTGCTTCTCCAAGCTGCATTAATGTTGATGGTCAATAGCTTTCCCAATCCAGTTCTACAGCTGTTGATGTTGCACAAGTGACTGTGCAGGTGTGTGCCTGTGCAAGGATCCTGTCTATCTCCATATTTTCCTTATCAGTAACTGGGCTTTTAATGAGTCTTCTCATTTTTCTCAGCTGACACAGGCTGATATGAATCTGATGGACCCTTCACTGCTTCAGTATCCTGACTGGAAAGGACATCTGTTGTAAGTCTTTTCTGTAACACTTCTCTTTTTGACTACTTGTTTAATAAACAGAATGGATGAATACAAACCTCTTCTGCTACGTTCTCTAGTTAAAACATTTCTAGGTCACTTAAATAATCTTTTTCTTTGCAAAACTTTACATTAGCTGTCCTACCAGCTCATCCAGTTAAAAATCCTTTTATGTGAGGGAAGACGCAAGTTTTCTAAAGCAGAGTTTTAAAAGCACTTGTGTACATTAACAAATTGGGTAACTCCAAACAATTATTTGAAACATAGTGAACACTTGGGGTTGTTAATCCTTCTTTTCTGCACCAGATTAAAGCTCATCAGAAATACATGCACCATTATAGACATTATCCGCGGCACCTCTGCTGGGTGTAAAAATCATGTCTGTTCCATAGGCCAGAGCTATCCTGTTTTCTGGCTATTTTCACCAGACTGTAGTGTCCTTGACTTGACTTTCCTAAGATGTGAACCTGGTTTGGAAGCCCAGCCTCTTGGAGAATATTTGAGTCAGTATTTGCTTTCATGTATTTTTCAGTTTACGGGAAGAAGTGGCTCGATTTTTGACCTATTACTGCAAGGCCCCTGCACCTCTCAAAGCAGAGAATGTAGGTAACCCAGTGTCCATTGGTCTGTGTTCTAATGTATTGCCATTTGTTGGGAAAAAGTTTCAAATTCTGTTTATTTTAAACAAATTATTTGGTAAGAATGCAAGCTGTTATCATGTAAATGAGATTGATTCTTCATTTCAATAGCTTTTGTACACACTTCTGCCAGAACACTTCAGGCCTACTGTATATGCCTCATGTTTCACATCTGTGTGCCAGCTCCAGTACTCCCAATGGGGCTTTACATTTTGATCTCCCTGTTTAGCTCAGGGACCTACTCTGCCTCTATCCCTCAGCCTTGACAAAGGGCGCCCACTGTTTCAGTTGAGTTCTATGTCATCGCATTCCTCTGTTACACCTCAAGACAGAGATTTGTAATTGAACCAAGAGTTAGTTTTAGCCTATAAAATTTGTGGCAGTGTTGCTAGAAAGACATCAGGACTTGAGTCTCTGCAGGACTTGCTGACTTTTGAAAGATACAGCCTGGGCACAGGAGCCTGTGGAGCTCAGGAGATCCTGTCTCTGCTGAGTGCTGAAGGCAGCAGGAGCTGGTGCAGCCATTGCTTTTCTGGCTGCAGTAATGCAACAGAACCCCACACTTCATGTGAACTGAGGTTACCACTGATTTGTTTGCTGATCACTGCCTCTTCAAGGCACCAGATTCTTCCTGATACTTGGAATGAAACTCATAGTACCTGTGAGCATTTGTCCTGTAGAAGAGGGAGTCAAACCTGCTTCTGTACGAGACAGTAGTTTCCACTTTTGCAGAAATTTGGCCGGAGGTCAGAACTGCTGTTACCATGAAGAAATGATAACACATATTAACTGTTGAAAAGTGTTTTGATTTACTAGCATCTCAGAACTGCTCCCCAACTTTTTCCCTACTTTAAGCCTATTATTTTTCTAAATTGCTTATTAGAATGAAAAATGGCACTAGAACAAAGTGTCATGAAAGAACAGGATTAAATTTATTCTGGTAGAAGTGGGATTTCAGCAGGAAAATTCTAATGGAGAATTAGGGATAAAATTTATTTCAGTGATATTGTCAGTGATATTGCTTTATAGTGTTGACTTTCTATGTACGGATTTATCACTAGCATTTCTCTTTTTTCTGTAGGTAATTGTTTTAAATGGTTGTGGCTCTTTATTTTCTGCATTAGCCACAGTCCTTTGTGATCCAGGGGGTAAGTGGATGGTTGGAACAAAGTTTTGTTTTGTTTTGTTTTTTTCTGCTGGGAAATAATGTTACTTTGTTTAAATACTCTTAGACAGAAGTGAAGTAGTAGAGTTGGCATTGGTCTCCTGCAAAGTTCTTGTGTCCTGCAAAGTTGTGCTGTGAAATTCTTCATTTCCGTGGTCTGCAGATGTCATGCACTCACACTCAGTGCCTGCCCTGTCTGCCTTCACTGTTTTTGTGGTGCCCTGTTTTAGTTTGCCAGACTAGATATGGGCTATACTCATGGGTACCTGGGCACTTGCAGAAGATTAAAGAATTCATGTAAAAATAAAGTGAAGAAAGAGGCAGTAGATTTGCAGTGTTTCCAAGGGACACAGCTGTAACAATTTAGCTAAAGCACATTTTCATATTTAGCTAAAGGAGAGAAGACCTGTTGGTAACTAACTTTGTTTTCTTCGTTCCAGAAGCTATTCTGATTGCTACTCCCTGTTATAGTGGTATTGCCCAGAGTATCTTCCTCTATGGTAATGTCAAGCTGGTGTATGCCTATTTAGACAGTAAGGTAAGATCTGAGAGAAGAGAGTAGTAACCTCTGTCGTTAAACTGGAAAGCTGAGCTTTGGGAATCCTTGCAAGCAGTTCTCAGAACAAGGGTACACTACAGCCAGTGGACATTTGCACAGTTTATTGCTGTGAAAATGGACACATGGTTTACAAGAAAGTCACTTGAGACCATGAATCTGGATTCCAGTTTTGTACTTTTCTTGTATCTTACTCACAGTAAAAGTCCTTGAAAGGAAAAAATTTACCATTTTGAGCCTTGGAGAGAGAAGTTATATCATGCCCTACTGAAGGTGGTCCCAGGGTGGAAGAGCAGATAGAGATCTTGTGTTGCTTTATTTCTTCAAGGACAGCAAGAAAATTCTGGCTTTGGCCAACCATGATGGACTTTTCTTTGATTTTACTTATTGATTTATTTATTCTCTCTGTAGTATAAAAGGATAAGAAGATGGTTGCTAGGTCATTATTGCTGGGGGATTATTTTCTTTCAGGGAACATTTCTCAGTGGATTGGCTCAAGGCAGTCTCTATTGAAACAACTTTGCCTTTTTAATCTTTTTTATGTTTTTCAGATTACTGGAACAAGTACTCGGCCTTTTCAGCTTACAGTGGAAAAACTGGAAAAAGCCTTGCAGGATGCCCAGGCAGAGGTGAGTTTAGCTGAGCTTCACATTACTAGCTAGGTTTACAATATATTGGAGATGTCACATCCCAGATGTGGCCTAAAGATCAAAGCATTTTCAAAACCTAGCACCTGGCTTTCTGGTTGTCCTTATAGACTATCTGAGATAACAGCTTGCAAACTCAGGGGCACTTCTAGGGGGAATCCCTCAGTGTTGTGTCTGTCCTGTTTTGCTCACAGCACAAAAGAATAAACCAGATAATTCACAAAGCACTGGAACCCTTTCATATAGCCAAAAATAATGTACTTGGGCATGCACTAAAATTTGGGACTACCCAGGATTTCCCCCTTAGAAAGGCTACCTGAAAACTGATTGCTCTACACAGCAGGGCAGATGAATACACTAAGAATGCTGAGAGTTTTTGCAGGAGGGAACCCTAGAGGATAAAATGCAAGTGAATATCACTTTTCTGAAGAGTTAGTCTTTAAGTTTGGCATTGTCCTAAATCCCATATACGTTTAGCTGCATCTTTGAATTGTTACTAGCTCTGACATCTCCAGCCAAGTGTGCTCTAAACGAGTACACTTTGCATCCACCTAACTCAAATTCTCATCTTTCTTGCCACTTTCATGGGCAGTCTTCAGTAATTTATTATTTCCCAATTACTAATGCAGCTCAGAAAAAATACTTCCATACTGAGAGTGTGTGAGAGTATCTTTCTCATTAATTGGTTGACCAGATGGCAACCAATTACTTGGTGGTGGCAATTCCTTCTTTTCAAAATCATAGATTAATTCTATAATATTTGCTCATTTCACTTTGCAAATGATATAATTGTAAACAAAAAAAAATCTTAATTTGTGGCTGAAAGTTTTCTCGTACAAATTTAACTTTGAGGTGAAAAGTCATGGTGGAAGCTTCAGGGAAATCCTCTGTCACACTCAAATGAGGGTCTGCTCAAGTAGAGGAACTGAAAATTTATCCCATGATGGCCACTCTATTAATACTATAGTGTTTGTATTCTGCAGGGTGTCACCGTAAGGGCCTTAATTCTTTTGAACCCCCAAAATCCCCTTGGGGACATCTACTCCTTGTCAGAGCTACGGGATTACCTGGAATTTGCTAAAAGGTATGTCACTTTGGAAGGCTGAGATATCCTGAGTCAGATACAGCTTTCAGAACCTGGTGGACTACCTGCTGTCCCTGAATTTATCTGTGGATATCTTTTAAGTCAGGCAAATAGTCTATTCTTCACACACATTGGTGGACTTAAGAAAGGAGAGGGGAGTGCTGGGATCATGGACCCTCCAGTCATCTGGGGTGGCAAAGCAACTTGCATCAAGGAATGCAGGTTTTATTTTTCAGTGATCTGAGGAAACACTATGGCACTGTGCTCTCCTGGTAGAAAGTGGAGTTCTTTTCTCTCAATTTCTCTGTATTTGTAAAGACAAAGAAGTATATGAATATGGGTTGCCAGTTTCATCATGGATCATAATACTGTTTGAGATTCAGATTCTAGGAGAAGCTGAGTGGATGGGTAGTACATATAGGAATTAATTTTCACATTGGCAATAATAGGATCTTTGTCTGGTTACATGGTTACAAATGGGTGACACTTAAGTGGATATAACTCAAATAATTTCATTGTACACAAAATAAATCTAAGTTGAGAAAAATTGCTTTATTTCTGCAAAATTTGGCATCCCCTCTTCTTTATAAAGCAAGTATTTGGAGGCCTGAATTAATCTCTGTTAAACCAGAAGCAGTCTTCTTTTGTAATCTCCATTTTGTCCTTTTGCAGGCATGAATTGCATGTGATAGTAGATGAGATCTACATGCTGTCAGTTTTTGACGAATCAGCCACGTTTCACAGTGTCTTAGGCATGGACAGGTAAAAGCAGCTCCTACTTCCCTGGCCATCTTCCAGTGACAGTTCAACATGATGCCTTGCTGAGAACTTGTGACTGGAAGTTAAGTCATGAGCTAGTAAATTCTGAATCCACCTTACATTGATTTATACCCTTTTTCTTTTTTTTTTTTTTTGGTAATTTCTGAATGGCAGATGCATTTTGTCAGATACAATCTAGCAAGTAAAAAATGGTAGCTGGCTATTTATTGTGGTATATTTCTCAATGTGTGTATTGATTCTCAATGTCAGTGTTTGGTTATGACAGTCCCCAAAAAAGAAAACAGATTTTTCTTTTGTTGAAGGTGATGCTCTTCTTCCTATCTCAACATCTTTTTCCCATGTTTCTGTTGATGCTTGTAAAGACTTTCTACTGGTGTTTACTTCCTAATTTTCCATAGAGTAGTTCCAGATCACAGTAGTATTACAGATTGGATAATGGCTTTTATTAGGTATTGTTTTAATGAGATGAAAAACTTTTAAAATCTTTTTTAAAATATGGTGTGTTGTTGAGTTGTTTGGTTTTTTTTTTTTAATTTCTAGTCTTCACCAGTGGTGCTAGCTATCTTGTGCTCAGTTGCAAGGAAATAAAATATACTCAGTTAAGTGTTAGCTCAGTCTTGCTGGGCTTAGATGTACAAGAACATCGCTTTTGATTCTTGACAAAATACATTGGCAGAAGCCTGATTTCTAGCATTAAATGTACGAGCTTCAGGAAATCTGCATGTAAAATGTAGCACTTGTAAACATCTGTGTCTTTGAAATATTTAAAAATTCTGTCTCAAGCTACTTCCAAGGGGTTCCTGGCTTATAAAGTTAGGTCGCATTTGAATTTTCCCTGCTTGATTGCTGTTTGGTGGTCCATTGTCTGTCATTGTGTAATGCTGCCTCTCTGTTTCTGCAATGCTGCACTGGTGATCCAAAAGCTTCAGCACCTATGACACTAACTGCCCATCTGCATCCTTCTACATACAGATTGCCTGATCCACAGCGGACTCACGTGATGTGGGGCATAACCAAGGTGAGTGCTGGTTATTATTGTGCTGTGTCTTTGTGGCTGGTAGGTTTTGGTCTGGGCTTCTCAGGTTCCTCATGCTGGAAAGATCAAGTTAGTAGTAATAGGATTCCAGTTGTTCAGTGTAATAAAGTAGTCTCTCTGTGCCTTCTGCAGGATTTTGCTGTTTCTGGGATTCGTTTTGGTACTTTATATACAGAGAACCAAGATGTTGCTAATGCAGTGGCTTCTTTGTGTTATTTCCATGGGGTTTGTGGACCTGTCCAGCACAAGGTTGCCCAGCTGCTTAGAGACAGAGGTGAGTCAGTAGTTCCATGTACTCCTCTGCCATTTTGTGTGTCTTAGACCTGGAAGATCTTCCCTCCCCTAATGTTCCCTAATGGTCTCCTCTTTGTACACCTTAACTGACAGTCTTCCATTACCCTGAAGCTGCCCATGCAACACAAAGCTGACAGCTCTTTCTGCAGAAAGAGCTCCTGATCAGCAGAGCTGATTTTTCTGCAGAGCTCCTGATCAGCAGAGTTAGAGGAGCAGCTTGGAAGAAGCATGGAGCTATTTGTACAGAAATTGGCAGAGTTACCTAGAACCACATGATCAAAAACAAAGAATACAGGCTTGTAGGACAAGGGAAATGGAAATGGGCTTCACACTTTTCCCTGGGTGGAATGCTAACAGTCCATGATGACTAAAAACTATAAATGTAGGAAAACTTCCTCTGGAAGGTCAGGGAGATACTTTTCTGCACAGACATGAAACTGCAAATTGCTTCTTGGCTGTCTTTCTGTTACATGAGGAAACAGAAAACAAAAGAAGGAGGTGAAGTGTGAAGCAGACACTGAGTGTCTTGGAAGCTTGAACAGATCTGAATGCTTCCTCAGTTTGTGATTCTTTTCTTTATCTTCTTCTTCTGGTCAGACTGGATCAACCAGGTGTACCTGAGGGCCAACCATGCCCGCCTAAAAGCTGCCCATACGTATGTGACAGATGAGCTGAAGACACTTGGGGTTCCTTTTCTCAACCGCAATGCAGGCTTCTTTGTCTGGATTGATTTCCGAAAGGTTGGTAGTTTTAGGAAGCGAGGCTTCTCCTGGGGTGAGGGCAGGCATGTAGTGCAACTGCATCTAGAGGAAAAGTTAATATTGTGAGAAGCATTTTCTTTCAACAAATCTGTCATCTGATGAGGAGAGGGAAGGACTGCCAGATGTTTCAGTCTGTTCTTTTCCTTTCGTCAGTCTGTGAACTTCCCTCCTTGCAGGAATATTACTACTCTCAAGCCACTTGCCTCCCCATTTCTGCCTTTGTATCTCAACTGCTGTACTTCAGAGGTAAAAGGTGTCTCCCTTGGCCTTTGCAGACTTTATGGGAATCACAAATTCATGAGGATCTCAGTGATGTAGACTATATGGTACTAACCTCTGGCCCTTCTGATGACTCTCCTAGTACCTTAAGACAGGCACATTTGAGGAGGAGTTGCTGCTCTGGAAGCGTTTTCTGGATAATAAGGTCCTCCTGTCCTGTGGAAAAGCCTTTGAGTGCAGTGAACCTGGATGGTTCCGCATCATCTTTGCTGACAAGACCCACCGGCTGCAGTTAGGTGAGTAATGTTCTTTTTCCTCCCACCACAATTTCTGCAGCACTGTTCCCGTCTCTTTTTAATCCTAAACTTAGGTTATTATTATCCTCTTGTCTTCTCTGTTTTTTTCTCCCTTTCTCCATTATCCTTTTCTGAATCTTAAACTAATTGTGTCTTAAACTAATCCAGTAGTGTTTCTCCTCCTTGTACCACTGCAGGTATGCAACGGATACGCAAGGTTTTGGAAGAGCGTGAGCAGGAGATACTGGCTGAGGAGAAGGAGCAGCCTTGTCAATCAGATCAGGATGGCAAAGCAGATAGCACAGATGAAGTCATTTTTGTATCTCGCCACCAGGACCCTATCTGTGCCACTAGCTCCAGCCTTGGTGACCTCATTGGCCTCCTGCAGCAACAGATGCGTTCATCTGACTGGCTACAGAAAAACACAGCTGAGCAATTTGCCCAGGAGAAGCCAGAGATCTATGATGTGTTCAGCAAACTGGTGGGGAAGCAATAGGGGTCAGTGGGCTCCAGGGGCATTCCTGAGCAGTGACTGACCCTGGGCTCCTAACAGCTCGGTAGTGACTTCCAGCAAATAATATATTTTCTGTATAGCAAGAAAATTACTTTGTAGGCCCCCTCCTCTCCCCCCTGTTTGAGATCTCTGATTTGTACTATATAGGTGTGTTTCCTTGGATTGGGGTGAGGGTAGGGAAGGGGGGGTGTCTTGTTTGCATGCTGCTCTCTGTTCTGCAGCATCATTGTATTTTATATTTAATTTCTAATGAATATGCTCTTAACTCTCTTATAAGGTCCTGTGGTGTAATTTTTTCTTCTTCTTCACACTTTCCAAAAAGAGACTTTAGATTGTTAAGTTATGTGAAGTTTCCCTTTTCTTAAATGATGATCAGATGTAACCATTTCAGAGCCAACTGTCTCACAGAGGTGTTTTTGGGAGATAGAATCTAGTGTCAGCCCTAACTTAGCCCTGGCTAAGGGTAAATAAACATGTGCATAGATTCATCTTCATGACTGAGGCTCTTAGGACCATAGTCATCTAGACTGAGATCTATAAAACATTTTGTTTTGAGTTGGTTTTCAGCCTGATCTCAATCAGACAGTATCCACCACCCTCTGCTGGTGAAATGCCTGGTTTTGTTTCTATTCTTCTTTTTTATATTCATATAAATAAACTGCATCCATTGGCCTCTTGGCAGAATGTCCAGAAAAAAGCTACAAATGGAGAGGCAATAGAAAGTAGATGTTCTTTTTGCACTTTTCTATTCCTGGAAGTCCATCCCTTGTGGTTAACAGCAACATATATTGGCAAAAGAGTGAAGAGAATGCTTCTGCCACCATGTTAGGTGTACCTGCAGGTACAGCTGCTTCTGTCACCTACCACAGGCATCCAAGGATGCACCTTCCATCATTATCACGATAATGAATGCAATTTTTTTTCTGTGTTTCTCAATTTGCAGAGTAGTTTTTTGGATTAAATGGTATTCTTCTGTCTCCTTCTCTTTCCCATTTTAAGAAACTTTTTTCTATATGTGCTGGTGGTAGTGTATTTCAACTGGAAGGCTTCTTTCACAGGTAAAAAACTATTTAACTTCTGGTACTATGAAATTTAGATATCCTAAAGGAATTGGAGCTGTTTTTCTGCATACGTATTAATCAAGAGTTGAAGGAAATTGTTCATGAAAATTTTGAATAGAAGTGCATCTTTCCTCTCCTCATATATTTTGGTAGATGGGCATGAGTGACAAAAGCATTTCTGCATCATAAACCAAATTACCAAAGCATAGGCAACAAATAATTAATGCAACTACAGATTGCTGTGTGGTGATGGCAGAGAACTGCTTGGACAGTGGGAAGGAAAGTCTGAGAGTGGCTGAAGAGAAGATGGTGGTGCTGGTGACTGCTGTGAGCAGAAACCAGCTCCTCCTTTAGCAATGAGGCAAGGTGGGTGAGATGATGGGTAAGATCAGTGTAAAGAACAGTTATAAACATAGTATTTGCTAACTAGTTCGGCATTTGTCCTTGGACAATATTTCAAAGTCCACAAAGAAAGCTATAGCAGAAGACAGGTGTCATTAAATGGAATGGGAAGTGAGATGCACAGACAAATTACAAATGGACCTCCTGATTTTCCCCCTCTTATTTATGTACCCCAAGGAGGACATGAACAATAAAATTTTAGGGATCAAACTCTTTGAAATCAAACACCAGGTAAGACATTAGTTAAAGTGATATTTTAGGGGAACTCTATAGCAAATTCAACCCAATAATTACTCCTCATTTTCTTTTGTTGTTCTAGTCATTCTTCCTGTTTGAGTATGAATATACAATAGTAACAATTTATATAATATTTTTAACCCATATATATTTACTGCTCAGGAAGCAGGTTAATTGTACTGTCTCTGTGTGGATTCAGCTAGTAAAGCACACCTCTGCAGGAAAGAGGGTATGATGTGCTTTCAGAATCCTCACAGCTAGTACAGTATGGCTGACAGTCACATCTGAACTTGCTGTAATTCAACAGAACACTCACAAACACAGAGTATTTTCTATGGTTTTTTCAAGTCTAACAGCTAACAGCTGCCTGAGGACCTCTCCACTGAGGAATGTTAGCTTGGTCACAGAAAATAAAAATTTAACTGGTAATGAGGCCAGAGAGAAATGTGGTCGTGAGTCTGCTGTTGGAAAAAACTGTGGGTTTTTTTGACTGTGCAAAAATTTTGTAAATGGCCTTAACTGGTTTACAAGAAGTGGTAAACATGTAGAAATTCCTGTGCATATGTATATAGAAGCTAAATCAATTCCTATTTGCTCTAAGATTACCCCTGAGAGGAAAAACACAGGTTCTGCCTGTACAAATTGTTTGTTCTTTCTGCTACCTTCATGTTAGATATTTTCTCCACTTGATGTATCTCATAGTTCTCATTAATGGCCTTTTCTATGAGGCAAATCTCTACAGACAAAAACATAGAGAACAGATTAAGGATGCTGTCCCTGCCCTCACATTTCTTTTGACCTGTTTGTCAAGTGATAGGCAAACAGAGCAGCGCCTCAAACGAAGCCAGTCAGATCTATGTTTTTAAAACTTCTGCATTTCATCTAAAGCAAGAAATGCCATCAAAACTGTGCCTTCATTGCTTGTACTCACTATAATTATACAAGATGATAAAATCCACTTTGCATAACTTTTTTATGTTCCAGTTATCCTTAATTTGAGCACAGAAAGGATCCTGAATGATTTTGTGGTCCTTGTCTTGTTCTAGTCACTCACTCCCCTTCCCTCTCTGTTCCCCTCCTCTGCCCCCCTTCTGTCTCTCTTCTCCAGAGAAGTATTCAATACTTTTAGAGTAGAGGTGGGAATTTCCTATCCAGAATTGCTCTCTGTCATAGAAATTTCCGTAACATACATTTCAGGCGTACACTTGACATTTCATGTTTATGGGAAGGAAAAATCTGTAAATCTCCAAATTATTAACCTGTTTTACATTGCAGTTAAACAGACAACATAAGTGAGGCCCATTCAAGATAAGTGTTTATGAAAAATCATGCATACTTACAGGAGGAATCTGTGAAAATGAGTTTTCTCTTACAGAAATTTAACAGGACCTAAGCAAAATATTTGTAGGGAAAAGTATTCACTGATAACTTAAGAGTTTTCCACCTTAACTGAAGAAGGGCAGTTGCTCAAATGTACTGTATGATAGACTATATTTTTTAAAAAAAATAGATGTTAATCCTTTAATTGTTGTCTTTCTCTCTTGGAACATCCAACAGGTCACACAGCTGGGCTGACTGCTGTGTGTTTCCCCCATCCCCATAATGACCCAGTTTCTTGAAACCCGCCTTGGGGTCAAATTATCATTTATACCGACAATTCCTCTGCAGTCCTCCTCCAGTTACTTGCTTACAGAATCCCTCTGTTGGTCTCATCCTGCTGGCAGAGTGGTGGTTCCATTTCATCAGAGAGACAGTGGCACACAGAGGCTCTGTGCTAAAAAACCTCTCACGGAGGAAGCTATGTGAATTGCACCCCTGAAAATTTCTGCATCTGAAGAATCAGGCATGCAAAACTGCTTTTGCACCTTTAATTACTTATGCAGCTATTTTTGTAAGATTGGCTGACCTAACAAGAAGTTGTTTTGGTTATTTCTGAAGCAATTCAGACCACATCATGAAGAATAGGGCAAGGTAACCTACAAGGATTATATACAAAATGATATGTGTTCCATCCGAGAAAATCAGAGTGGCAAGATAGATTCATTTTCCATTCCAATTAATGCTTTATTTATTACTGACTTACATAAAGCACTGGCAACTGACTGATGACAAGATACTAGATTATTTACAGCCAGCAAATGTACTAAAGAGTCTGAGGAGGTTATAAATACTCTACTTTTTGTCCTCAGTTTGCCGGGATCGGTTATTTTTAGCAAATAGCCAGTCGACCTTATCAAAATGAAGAATCAAAAATAGTCTGGAAAAACACTGCAAGGAAAGGCTATTTTTAGCTCTCTGTCTATTCCCTGCTGCTATCCAGCAAGGTCTGATGGCACAGCTCATGCACGACTGCTTAGTTATTCTAGGCAAGTGCTTGTTATGACCTGTCCTTTCCCTGGATGCCTCTCTGCAGAAGGCATTCAATTGATTAAAGATTAATGCCTCTGCAGACCGTGACAGCTGAAAGCTTTAGGGAGGGGGAAAACACACACTGACAGATTGTTTCTATCTGCATCTTTCTGCCAGATTAATAGTTTCTTTGAAGGGAACTCTCGCCTAACTGAATTTCCTCGTGTCTCATATCCCTCAGTGGGAGTTATTGCAGCACCCCTTCTAAGTATATTTACACTTCTTTTTCCTTTCAGTTCAGGAAGGCAGTAGAGGAAGTAAGAGTTACAGACATAAGTTAAATCACTGTTTTGACCAATGCCCTCCATCACAAACCAGTAGCACTGGGAGTGTGTGATGGACTGGATCAAGAGAGAAAACCATGCAATTGGCTGCTAGATAGTTTATTGATCAGACTAGTTAGAACGTTCATTGATATAAGTGAGGGTACCATTTGGTTGTAAGACTTTAGCCAGAACAGTGAACCAAAGCAAGGACCTGGCTGCTGCAATATCCTTAACTCTCTTATAATAGAAACTCTTTAATTTAGTTCAGTACCAGATGTACTGGCAGTAGCCAATAACAACATTTTCAGAAGAATAAACTGAGTTATGAGTTTTTAGTTGTTATGCCATAGGTAGAAAATAAGGCTGAAAAGATGTCCTCAAACCATTAGATTTCCTCCTCATATTTGTTTTTAAAATTACCTCCTTGTACTCACTGTAATCATACAAGATGGAGGCAGAATGTGCTGCTTCCATCACTGCACAAGGTGCACCATAATCTCACATGCAGCTTCTTTACACGTGGAGACACAGTAGCTAGCAAACGGTTCTCTTCTGTACACTTATCATCCCAGCAGAAAATGCAGGATGCTGTATGCGACAGCAGGCAAATGTATGGTGTCATGGTGAAGCCCTTAAATTCCAAATGATTCCCAAAGAATCACATAGGGCAGGACATAAAAGGGCAAAGCAAAGTGAAATATCTGATTTCTCCTGTGCATTTATAAAAATTGATAGCTGGTTATCCAGATGCTGATGAATATTTTCACAAGCTATAAACGGCAACCTGGAGTCTAAAAATAGATGCTGTGCCGCAGACTTGTCTGGCTTAGCTACATCACTAGAATATAAACAGGCTCCCTGGTGTGGTTTCAGAGAAATCTCTATCAAGACAGCCTACATCCTCCATTTTTCTTGCTACATAGCTGATTCCTCTTGAATTTGTTTAATATAGCTTTTAATAAAATTGCATCGATTTTCAAATTTTCCTACAGGGATGAAAGGATCATCAAGCCTCTGTGAATATTTCAGCTACGATTGAT